AACAGACGGAAAGGAGTAAAATTTTTAGCTAGGTTCTGATAGTAATGAATGCTCCTTGGAAGGATCATTGTGAGGGAAGAAGAGAGATGGCAGTAACAGAGTTGCACGATTTAATTAGTCCTGTGCAGGCTGCTTGGTCGCATTAGAAATTAGTACTGGGGACCCTGCATTCCTCCACTGAGTCTCCCTCCACCAGGGCTCCTCCATGAGGGCCTGGGCTCATGGGAACCTTTGGATTTCTTTGATCTGCTTTTGATTTTCTGTATCATTCTTAATCCTAATCCTTACTAATGCCATGTGTGCTGATAGCTTATTTTTGATAGATCACTTCAAATGAAACTCATACACTTCATGCATTTTTAACTTCTGACACCAGACCTCGCATACTACCACCAGCTCTAAAACTACAAATACATTTTCTTTGAATTCTTACAGTGAATTGTAGAAAAGGTTTTTAAACGAAATTTTAGAAACAAAAATTGCACTATGCAGATGTGCCATTTTTCCTTTCACAGTAAGTCATGAAAATTGAGGGGCACAGCCCAGTATGAATACTTTTCTGAGCACTGAGACACCAGAATTTTGACATCCAAAGACTTCCTACATGCCACCTTCACCTTTTTGATGAGGAAAAAAATCATTAAATGTCAGCACTCTGGGAAATTTTTAAAAAGACATCTTTAAGAAATAAACTTGTGGTTCAGTATATTTAATTCATAAAACAGAAGTATAACTCTTAGCCACTTGAATACATTTAACTTATTAATGTGAAAATACCAATGTATTAGAATGAGTTTCTACACCCTATTCTCTCTCCTTGATTAGGAAGAAGTATCTACCAAGTCACTTTAGATATACAAGGCTGCAAAATTATTCGTGCAAAAAATTAGTGCTAGGTGAAAGGGAATTTGGAAAGTCTTCCCAGATCTTGCCACTACACAAGTCTTTAGCTATAATTCTCACACTTTATTTTTGTTTTTGTTTTTGTTTTTTTGTTTTGAGACAGGGTCTCACTATGTAGTTGAGACTGACCTGGAGCTCACTGTGTAGCCCAGGCTCGTCTCGAACTCACAGTGATCCTCCTGCCTCAGCTTCCAGAGTGCTGGGATTACAGGCGTGCGCCACCAAGCCCGGTTCTCACATGTTTTTATTTTCTTCCAACATAAAATACAAATAATATAGGGTATTCATTACATACACGATGAGTGCATTGTGTAAATATGATCGAATGCCCAATTTCTATTCTTAGAACTTGAGCATGCACATTGACCAGTTAGAAATCCCACGCAAACACCATTTCAGTGACTGCCTCACACTCTGTTGTAGGCATCTGTTTAGTTTGCTTAATCATTCTTTTATTCTTTGATGTTTAGGCTTGCATGGTGAAGATGTGACAAGCATCTTTGTTTATCCATGTCAACACTTGGCAGTTATTTTTTTCAGAATTGTTTCCAAGAAGTGAAATTTGTAGTTCTTTAGGCTCTTGAGACATACTGCAAAACTGCTTTCTAGAGTAAGCTTGTGACAGGTTATATTGCCACCGGTTGTGTAGGAAGTTTCCTCCTCACAGTACCCTTTGCCAGCATAGGAAGGCACGTTTGAAAACAATGTTACAGTTGAGAAATGGACTGTTATGCCCAAGTCGCGAAGTTCCCAAAGACCAACAAGGAGTCAGGTCCGATGCAATTACAAGAGGAGTTAATTGCAAGCTCGAGCCTGGACCCTCAGTTGTCACCATCACAGCGGCTTCAGACCAAGAGCCCAGATCCATCTTTGAAGCAGGATTATATAGGGTTAGGGAGACTTTTCCTTTTTATAGGTTCTATTTTTAGCTCTCGCTTCCTATTGGATATTTGAGGGGTACTGGGAGGGCACTTCCTGGAAAATTACTAATGCCTACGTTCACAGAAGCAATTCCCCTTTTTAAAGAACATCTGATTAAACAAATTCTATAATTAACAAAGACTACATATGTAAGCAGTGACTAATGTCTATATTAGCAGTGGCTACCTATGTAAACTGTGACTAGTACCTATGTTGGCTAAATCAATTCCTCCTTTTAAAGAACACTGATTATCTTAAGCAGGAAGAATTCATCTTTAGGTCATAAAAAAGAGGAACAGAAACAGGGAGACTGTCATACGGAGTGGAATTTTTGCAGCTCTGTTCTAGGCAAGGGGCACAGAGGTGGGCAAAGGCCACAGAGGGAGCCCACCTCGACCTGAAAACTTTGTCCTTACAGGACTTTGAAGATGAAAGAGATTTTAAAAGCCATTTAGTGTGACTCTTCATTCAATAAAGAATCCATCTTCCCAGCAGTATAACTGGAAATTCTTTGAGAAGAACTCTGTCTTACCCATCATTATAATCCCACTACCGAAATATAGGGATATAGTAATATTTATTGAATTAATTAGTGGATGTATGAATAACCAAAAAAAAATTTTTTTTTTGAGGATCATACCCGGGTCCTTGCACTTGCGAGGCAGGAAGCGGAACCACTGAGCTAAATCCCCGGCCCCATTATTCAGAATTTAAATGTGTACTTCCTAAAGTAAAACGTAAATGCTTTTGAGACTAGCATATTCTGTATTTTAAAGGTAAACTCCTAGGTTTTAAACATCACACCATAATCAATATCAAAAAAATCTATGCTAAAATATTATCCTAACATCAAAAATTGCTCAACCTTTATATATGCCTTTCAGCCCATAAAATACATTTATTAGATAAATGTGTCATTTCTGAGATTTCTCATTGAGAATACTGTTATTTCCCAAATGAATGAATTCTAGCCCAGTGTGTGAACACTTATCTGAAATTATTTGGTATTGTGGTTGCTTTATCAAAGCATGTGTCAAAAATACAGAATTTCATTTTAACCTCATATTTTCTTACAATCCTTAGTATTGTCTTGTAATAATTCAAAATGCGTATGCAAATCCTTTTTAAAGCACCCAAAACTACCCTGAAAAGCTTCTGGTAGTTTGTTCTTTGACAGGTCCCAGTTGCGTTTTTTTAGCCAAGCAAAATGCTCTTGAGTTTGCTTTTATTCTTTCTTTTTCCCTGCTTAGTAGAAAGGTGGACAATTAATTCTTCTATTAGTCATCATAAAGTCTTCCAATATAAGAATTTCCTTTTGGGTTGAAGTTATCTATTACTTTTTCAGTTCACCTCTTATATGATAATTAAGTCAATGCTTTTCTTAAAAAAACCTAGATAAGGAAGCCACAAGATTGATCATTTGATCTTCAGTAATTAAGCAATAGCTCTTCCAAATGTGTGCGGTTATTGAGATTTCTTTTTTAGAAATTTAGAAAGATTTAAGGAGAGTATTACAATAGGGGAGACTTCAAAGTTTCCACTGAAAAGCAGTTAATACATTAATGTTCACTATATTTACTCGAGTCCTCAGTTTTAAATATATGAGTAAGCACATTCACATCAAACTGTTAAAATTAATTACTGTTCCTTTTTTTGTGTGTGCCAGGGATTGAACTCAGGACCTTGCCCCTTGCAAGACAGGCAGCAGAACCATTGAGCTAAATCCCTGGCCCAACCGTTCCTTTTGACATAGGCATTACGTTGCTCCAGTAAAGAGGTCTCCATTTATTCTGTGTCTGCTTTGTGCCAGACAATGAGCTGTGACTTGTGCTTGTTACTTCACATTTGCCCTCTCAATAACTCTGTGCTACAAGGTGTTACTAGTCACTCTTCATATTGTGAATGAGGACATGGAGGCTAGAGAGATTTGAAAACACTTGGTGTATTAGTCCGCTTTCCCATCACTGACACAATGCCTGACACCCACAACTTAAAGAAGGAGGGGTTTAATTGGGCTTATGGTTTCAAAGGATTCAGTCCATGATCAGCTGGTTCCAAGGCAGAGATCTCATGGCAGAAGGGTGTGGAGGACCAAAGCTGCTTAGTTCACAATGTCTGAGAAGCACAGCAGCATAGCAGTGCCAGAAGGGTGAGGCTATGAACTTTAAATATTAGTGCCCAATGCCACACTTCCATGGGCACCCAGACACACCCAGGATCATGATCTGCTAACCTTCTAGGTGCTTCTTCATCCAACAAAGCTGACATAGCAGGATTAAGAGTCTCACTTGGCCAACTTGCTCACCTAGGGAAGAGTGATCTGACTCCAGGCAGTTCAACCTTATACTCACAGGGCTTTGAGATAACACAAAGCTCAGATGATCAGCTTGAAGCAAGGGTGCCAATAGTTTACCTGATATCCCAGACTTGATCAGCAGACAGTTAAATGCTGTGCCAAAGCAAGTGAGTCATTTGAGCTCTGTCAGAAAGATTATCATGGTCACTTAATGGTGTCTGCTGCAAATGCAGGAAAAGGCAATGTTGGCATGCATGGTGAGGATGTGCCATTGCCAGCCTAAAAGAAGTAGTCCTGGAGCAAGCGGAAGTGAGAACTAACAGCCTCAGAGCCATGCCTCCCTTTAGTGTTGGCGTTGCACGCCCATTCACATCTCTTGTACTTTGTTAAGTGTGGATGTGGTTTTCTTTTGACAATCCGGTGGTCATAAATCACTTCGTGGACTAGATTTCCAGTGTCCTGTGAATCTGCCTGTAGGTCCTTGCCTGAGGTATTGTGCAACAGGTTCCCTGTAGACTGGGAGACTGGAACCCATCTTTATGCAGCACAGGACCTTTTTCCTCTGTCTACACGCAGAATGCAGCTATTCCAAGAGGCTGCGGTGGTCCAAAGTGGACCATGCAGGTGTTCGTGTGATGTAGCAGGAAGAGGCTGGGACTGACCTCACCCCTGCAACTTGCTCAGCATGTGACCCAGTTAGGAACCTCAGAACCTGTGTTTTCTTATTTGTTGAAGGGATGAATCGTGTTAGTATTTACCTTACGAGCCTGCTGTGAGTTCGAAGGAGAGAAGTCAGGTACGAATGTGTTGTAAACTATGAAGAGCTAAGCGTTTTCCTTATTTAAGGTTATTGCAGTAGCGGATGATTAATTGTTCAATGGTTTCTTGTGAAAAACACAGCAGCAAAAGTCATGCTCCAGCGCCGAGTCTATGCCCCTGTTTCAGATTCCTGGCACTGTGAAAACACAAATTGGGTTCCACTGGTTCATGTCAATTGCAACTCCAGACACTGAGCAGTCATTAGGGGACATGACGATAATTTAATTTCGAGTCTACAGCCACGGGGCTCAGGCTCCTTCCTTCTCGTGTTTAGCGAATGCAAATGGGCTGGGGGCGAGGAGCCCGAGGCAGGCGATGGTGATCTTTCCGAAGAAAGCAAGCCGGCCTGCCATGTCCACAGTGGATGCAAAGCCCATCTAAAACATGAAAACTTCAGGACACCCAATTCCAGGAAAAACACTGACTTACATTTTTATTATTATCACTAGTTTGATCTGTGGCGGTTGTAACGGTTGCTATGAGTCTTCTCTTTGATTTTTTTTTTCTCTTTGACTTCTGAAAGGAACCGTTGGCATTGATGTTACATTAACTAGGGAGATTGTGCAGCATCTGTCAGAGTAAGAGAGATATGGATGAAATAAAAATAAACAAATCCTCCTTTCATGAAGCGGCACCATTAAATAGCATCACTCTTACTAATTACGAGCTAAAATACGCAACTCTATCACTGTACTTCCCTACTTCAAGCAGTGTGACAGTCACTCACTCGCCCCGAAAGTATGAAGCAGCTTCTGTCCCCGTCTCTCCTGGGCTGTTTCTCCTCTCAGACTCTGGGTTGTCAGTCTTCTTTCACTTCTGATTGCCCTCCTTATCCTCCTTTCTGTCCATGGGAGTCCCAAGCCCAGAGATCATACTCCCTCCAAAAATTGAAATGTTTGACCATCTGCAAGCTGCTTATTCCCTACATTTTTTACCTTAATAAATGTCAGCATCGACTCCTAAGGCGACCATGTCCAAAACCTCAGACATCCGGACCACCTCTCTTAATACCCGCATGTCCCCTTGGTGACAAGTTCTCATCATCCCCACTTCTAAATATTCCTTCAGGTTGACTTTGTTACTGGGGTTTTAAGGCGAAAGCCCCAGCTCAGCCACCTATCCCATAATGCTAATCGAGGAGAGGAGCTTTGGGGCTGACGATTTAGCTCAGTGGTGCTGCGCCTGCCTGGGGAGCAGAGTCCTGAGTTTGAATCCCAGTACTGGGGGCAGAAAGTCATTATAAAGGAGAGGAGCTCCAGTCAGCATGGCCATGAGCACAGAGAAAGGATTCAAGATCTGTCTTCTAGGGGCTGACAAAGCTTTGCAATCTTACAGGAAAAGGAACAAAGGACGGTAGGGGTTTGCATAGATGGGGCTCCATAGCTGGCAGCCCAAGGAATCCTACTCCAGTCACAGTCTGGATGGATGATGGGAGTCTTCGTTCTGGCCCCATGAGGTTCTGCAACAGCCACTGTTGCCTGAGGGGACAGTTCAGTTCCTATCATGAGATGGTGAGGGGGCAGCCACAGTTCCCATCAAGGAACTCCAGACACTGAGCAGTCGGAGGTGACCTCTCACAAGGTGGTCTGCAAGGCTCTGCTTTTCCTGGAATCTGAGGTGACTTCAGGCTTAGGATAATGACTGGAGATTCTAGGCCTCGTTCTAGGGAGTCTGGAACTGGATGATGTGTAAACTAGCAATTGAATGTCCCTAAAGATCCTGAAAATCAGTTGTGATTGATGTGCTCACGGGCAGAGCCGAGCCAGGACCTGAGCCACAGTGTCACGGCTGCCCACGCTGCATCCTGTTGAAGTGACCCACTGGGCATCTGCAGGCCCAGCCTCTAGGTCCCTGCTACCTCCCTTCTCATGCCTGCTGCTTCGGCTCCCACCATGCACCTGTCCTCACTGACTTCAGCATAGTGACTACGGCTTTCCCTTTCTTAGCTGGTCCCCTTCCACCCCGTACCACATGCTTCATGGGTAATATGCATGGACTTGTCGCTCAGTAGCTTAAAATCTTTCAGCGCTTCCATGTCATTTCTTTTTTTTTTTTTTTTTTTTTTTTTTTTTGGTGTGTGTGGGGGTGAGCTTGCCAGGCAGGTGCTGAGCTGCTGAGCTACATAAGGCAGGTGGCAGAACATGTTATTCCTTGAGTAAAATGAGTGGTTTTGAGCATGACACTTAAGGTTACTCTGTTGTTTCTCCTCTTGACTGTACTGAAATACTAGAGTTTCCTAAGTGGATGCTATGGCTTCATTATTCTGGGTTTTGGTAAAAAATACTCCTTTGCACATCTTTTATCGTGGAGAACGGCCCACTCACTCTGAAAGAGTTAACTTGAATGTCACTATCTTTAGGAAACCTTCCTCCTTTGTGTTCCTATAGCAACCTGCAAATGCTCCCTTAATAACACTTATCATGTTGTTTTGTTATGAATGTTCTTTTTCTAAACATCATGAAACAATGTTATTCAAAAATTATATATGCATCCTTAAAATTGAGTATTTGCCATTCTTAAAGCTAATCTTTAAATTCTCGGTCTAGAACTCTTCCACTTCACTTCCATGTAAGTTGTTTGAGATGCAGTACTTTAAAAATCCTGTAGGATGCTATCCATGGAATAGTATCCCAGTTTTTTTTTTTTCACTGTTTATTGGTACATTTAAAGCAAACAATACAGTTACATTTATCATTGGGATCTTGTACCTTTACATGATATATCTTAGCTTGTAGTTTCCCCATACCCTGCCCTCCCTTCACCCCCTTCACCCTTCCCTATTTACAAAGAATTTGTTTCCATTTTTTCACATTTTTTTCTTTTCCTTTATTTCCCTTCCCCTGCCCTTCCCACTTCCCCTTTGGCTATTTTCTTCCTATGTCACCCTCTCAATTATACCATTTAAACCTTATTTACACTTTAAGCTTTTCACACCACAGAAGCTATTCCGTATTTACCCATGTGTCCTATTTATTTCACTTAAGAGCATAGCCTCAATGTGCATCCATTTAGCTATAAATGTTTCTAGCTTCTCATTCCTTATGGATGAGTGGTACTCCATCTTATAGAAAAATCACATCTTTATCCAGTCTCCACTTGATGGGCATTTGGGTTGTTTCCAAGTGTTAGCTATTACAAACTGTGCTGCTATAACATGGGTACACGTATATCACTGTGGTATGATTCTTTTAATTTTTTTGGAAAGATACCCAGCAGAGGATTAGCTGGGTCAAATGGGACCTCTAATCCTAGTTCTTTGAGGTATCTCCATATTGATTTTCACAGTGGTTTCATCAGTCTGCCCTCCCACCAACAATGGAGAAGGGTTCCTTTCTCCCCACAGCCCTGCCAGCATTTGTTACTGGTTGATTTCTGGATAGCAGCCATTCTTTCTGGGATGAGGTAGAATCTCAGTGTTGTTTTCATCTGCATCTCTCAAATGAACAGTGATGTTGAACAATTTTTCATATATTTATTTGCTGCTTTTACTTGTTTGAGAAATGTCTGTTCATTTCAGATGTCCATTTTTGAATCAGGTCTTTGTATTTGGGGAGTCTGATTTTTTTGAGTTCTTTATATATTCTAGATAGTAGTCCTTTGTCTGAGGAGTAGCTGGGAAAACTTTTTTCCCACATTGTAGGTTGTTACTTAGCTCTGTTGGTGATTTCTCTTGCCCTGAAAAAATTTTTTAATGCAATGAGATCCCAGTTGTTTATTCTTTGTGGAAGTCCTCAGGTTGCTGAGGATTTGTTCATAAAGTCTTTTCCTTTGCCAATGTCTTCGAGAATTCTACCTAATTTATTTTCCAGTAAATTTAGTATTTCTCTTTTGATATTTAGATCTTTAATCCCCTTGGATTTTAGTTTAGTGCATGGTGAAAGCAAGGGACCTGATTTTAATCTTTGGCAAGTTTTAATCTTTGAAAGCCAGTTTCTCCAACACCATTGATAAAAGAGGCTATCTCTCCTCCAGTGAGGATAGCTGGCTTCTTTGTCAAGGATGAAGTAGCTGAGTATATCTGGTGTTGTTTCTTCATCCTCTAATCTATTCCATTGATCCTCAGATCTGTTTCTTTGCCAGTACCATGCTGTTTTTATCACAGTGGCTTTGTAGTATAGTTTCAGGTTGGGAATTGTGATACCCCCTGCCATGTTTCTGTTGCCTAGAATGGTTTTTGCTATTCTATGTCTCTTCTGGTTCCAAATGAATTTTTGGATTGTTTTCTCAAGTTCTGTGAAATATACTGTTGGGATTTCAATTGGCATTGCATTGAATCTGTATAGAAGTTTTGGAAGTGTGACCATTTTCATTATGTTGGTTCTTCCTACCCAGTAGCAAGGGATGTCTTCCATCTTCTTATATCCTCTTCTATCTCTTTTTTTATAGTGCTGTAATTTCAGTGTAGAGGTCTTTTGTCTCCTTTGTTGGATTGATTCCTAGATGTTTCATTTTATTGGATGTTATTGTGAAAGGAATTGTTTCCCTAATTTCTCTCTCAGTGAGTCTGTTATTTGTGTACAAGAAGGATATTGATTTATATCAAGTTTTAACTACTCTTTTGAACAACATTTTCCTTCTATATGTGCATATCAATCACCTCTCTGCAATGTAACCACTTACAGTAAGTATGGCACTTACAAAAGCAACCAGCGTTCCTTTCAGTTTAATTCTGAAACATATGGCAAAGATAAAAGCAAAGATTAATCATCTGCACAATTTAAATAGTAACAATGAGAAAGCAATCATCCACATACCCACCCTCAGTGTAAGAAATAAATTGTTACTGATGTATTTCAAACCCGGTAAACAACTTTCCCTGACCTCACAACCTCCCACCCATCCAGTGGTGAACATTTTCAGTATTTCTTTATATATCTTTCTCGCTCCCCCAGCTTTCTGAAGGCCAAAGCTATGCTTTTTTTCTTTGTACCTCCAATACCTGACACAGAGACATTCAACTCATACTTACACAAGGAAATAAAGGTGTTAAATAAAAAATGTCATATGGTGTTAAGGAAATAAAACATAAGTAAAATTAATGTTGCAAGTAACAGTGACTGACTTGGAGGTTTGTCTGGAAAGAATTCCTCGAGGAAAGGCATTATGGATTATGTTTTAGAGAGCCTTGTAATTTCTGCTCAGAATATACAGATCAGAAGAAAACTTTATTCCCATCCTTATCAAAACAACAAAAATGGTCAGATAAACTGCAGGCTCAGACGACTGAGGTTTTGTGTTGACCAGCAGGCCAGGCTTCTGCAGGGAGAAGTAGACTGGGCAGATACAGCTGGGTCCCAGTAGACACCAGATAGAGTGACCAACTAGCTAGTGAAAGCCTGGTGCGGGTGGATGGGAGACTGATGTCACAGGGAGAGAGTGTCAACACCTTCCTGGCTTTTTCTATAAACCCCACACACCAGGGGCACACAGAGGCAACTGGCAAGGGCCCTGAGAAGGTGCCCCTGTGAGGTGCACTGATGTCAGGGACAGCAGCTGCTCTGGAGCAAACATGAGTTCCTCCTGGCCCCTCTTCCTCTGGCAGGAGGTAGAACCACTGAGCTAAATCCCCAGCCCGAAAACTACTATTTTTTTTTTTTTTTTTTTTTTTTTTTGTTTTTAGTTACACAGAAGGAAAACTGAAGCAAAATTCGTAGGCCCATGTTTTGTGTCTGTGGCATATGTAAGAGAAAAATGTGCAGTGACATAAAATTTAAAATGTAAAAATCATAAAGTGCATAAGAACAGAGCAGGAGAGGAAGTAGGTGGTGTAAGGTGTGCCCTCCTGTACAGCCTGTTGAACTCTGAGTGATTGCCAGTGTATACAAAGCTGGGTGAGGCCATGAAGAAACTAGAGAGAAGTCATCTCAGGAACTAGAGAGAGAGAAAGAGAGAGAGAGAGAGAGAGAGAGAGAGAGAGAGAGAGAGAGAGTGTGTGTGTGCGCTGGAGAAACTCTGGGGAAGATATCGTAGCTGAGGTGACAAGGACAAGGATCGGTGCACTGTCAGAGAAAAAAAAAAAGAACAGCCAACCACCAGGGACTGCAACAGAGAAGATGTGTGATAAACACTGTTTGGGGCAGGTCTGGCCAAACACACCACGGCAGGCACAGGCAAGAACATACTGGGTCCTGCTCTGCAGAAACCAGATTTCTTTTTGTGGGGGGCTTGAGACAGGGTCTCACTCTGTAGTTGAGACTGACCTGGAACTCACTAAGTAGCCCAGGCTGGTCTCAAACGCACAGCGATCCTCCTGCCTCAGCCTCCCAAGTGCTGGGATTACAGGCGTGCGCCACCACGCCCAGCTGAAACCAGGTTTCTTCATCTTGTGCCCTAATCCCATGCACCTGTCCCATAATCTTGTGGCCAGAACATGTCGTGTGCCCTTTAATATTGTAGGTCTTGGGTGACCTGGCATAAGGAGACCGCTGGTTAGACAGGCAGAGGCTGTGTGTGGCAGGGATCCCTTGCTTTGGGTGAGCAGTGGCAGAAAGCTGCCAATGATGTGGCACATGCCACCCAGAAATGGATACAGTTGGCATCTTCATGATCCGCTCTGGAGACTCGCCCAGTGGGGTTACAGGGCACATTAATCATCATCATTATCACAGATCTCAAAAAGGAGGAGGCTGGAGATTTCTCTGCTAGCAGCAGGTGACAGCAAGATGATTGGTCCTTTGGATTTGGATGCCTGCAGATAATTATCAAAGATTTCCAAGGGATGGTACTCTGCATAGACTTTAAAGGGCCTCTGATTGTCACATTTAGTGTCCTTTGCTCCTTGTGACCCGGGTAACCTTCACAATGGCAAAGGAGATAAATTTGAGAGCAAAGAAGCACTTCTAAGTCATAAATTTTTGACTCATGGCTTCCTTGACTCTATAAGTATGAGCCCTGATATCTTTATCTTCATCCTGTCTTTGAAGAGGCAAGGTGACCAAGTTAAAATGTGAAAACAAAATAAAGAAACATAGGGGACAGAAACAAGAGGTGTAATATACTTTTAGTGCTGTTGATCTCCATGCTCTTCCTGCGTGGATGTTTCTTGGATTAGAATTTGTATTTGACGTGAACCTAAAATCATAAGAAAGGACCTGAATCAGTGCGCACCATGTGCATGTTACCCAGCCCTGCCAATCCAAAGCATATTCCATTATCCCTGGAGGGAAGATTGGGATTTGAATCTGTTTCTGCAGGATGTCAACAGCTTGCAGGGTTCCAAGGAACTGATAATTATTAATGACGGCATCTCGAAGGTTCCCACCACACCCGCAGAGTAGAGTGCTTCATAATGTTAAGAAGGCAGGCGCTGAATGAGCCAGCTGCACTGTGACAGCCACGAGGGCCCATTTCCCAGTTGGCGCCCTCCCCAGCAGGGCAGGATGCAGAGGAACGGACCGAGGACATCTTCACCCTGAGGTCTGAAGGAAAGCACAGTAACAAGCAAAACCCAAGCCAGCGCTCCCAGTGGCTCCCTTCATGACAGTAATAGACTGCGTTGCAAGATTGGCTGAGCACCAGGTACGGTGCTGAGCATTGTACAGCCAATCTTCGCAACATTTCCCTGAAGTCAGCATTATCGTTATTCCTGTTTTCACAGACCAGAAACAGGTTTGGAGAGGGACCATCACTCCCTCCGGTCATAAAAATAACACATCAGAGAGCCAGGCCTAGACCCAGTGACTGCCTCTGGAGGCTGCATTTTCAACACAATGTGCTCTCCCTGTATTAGTCAGCTTTCCCATCACTGAGACCTTCTACCTGACACCTGCAGCTTAAAGAAGGGAATTCAGTCCACGGTCAGCTGGCCCCAAGGCAGAAACACTGTGGCAGACTGTGTGGTAGAGAAGCCGCTTAGTTCATCGCAGCAGGGAAGCAGAGCAAGTGAGCAGTGCCGAAGAGCAAGGAACTAGACATTGACCTCAAGGCCACACTTCCATGACCCACCCAGAGTGTGCACCATAAAGCCCCTACACCCATCCTAAAATCACTTAAGTGATCTCTTAAATTGACCCTTCACACACGTCCTCTCCCCGCACTTCATCTAGAAGAAATTCACTCAGTTCCTCAAGTAGTCACAAAGCATTCACTAAGCATAACATCATGGCCAGCCCTAAGGAAGCCGTGTGAGGATTTACTTGTGTAATCAGCCAGCACTGACTGAGCACCTCTTTGGTGCCAGGCTCTGTTCTAAGCACTGGGAGCACACGCACGGTCAAGATGTGGTCCCTACCTTCAGGGAAAGCACAGAGTAAGGGGACACAGGTAGTGATCTGAGCACCAGGAGCTGACAAGACAGAGGCCTGCCGCAGGGACGGGGCCATCTCTGAAGGGCGGGGGCAGGCTCAAGGGAGAGGTGGACCTGAGCTGTGTCATGCAGGAAAGATGAGGTTGAGCTGAAATTTGGGGACAAAGGCCTTTTAGCCAGAGATCATTGAGGTAAAGGAGCAGGGCAGGGTCAGGAAACAGCACATACATCATGGCTGGAGTTTAGAACAAGGTGGGCAGTGGGAGGGGTGAGACTCAAATGCCTAACTCCACCTTTCAATTTAATTGTATGAAAAGGCTTGAAGGTTGAAAGATCTCCCAGAACATTAATGAAGGACATTTTTCTCAAGCGAGTCAGTTGAGCCTATGCTAGAAACTAAATGTTCACATCCCCCAAAATTCATATGTTGAAACCTAACCTCCAGTGTGATGGAATCAGGATGTGAGGCCTTTGGAAGGTGACCAGGTCATGAGAAGGAGCTCAATGCCCTTACAAAAGAGTCTCCAGAGACGTTGTTGTCCCTGCCATCGTGTGTGGTTACAGTGAGAAGAGAGCCATTGGGAACCAAGAGACAGCTGTCCCCACACTGAGCTTACCCATACCTTGATCTTGGTCTTCTCAGCTTCTGGAACTGTAAAGGAATAAACTTCTGTTATTTATAAGCCATCCAGACTATGGTATTTTGTTATAGCAGTCAAAGGGGACTAAGACAGCCAAGACTCCAGTTGTTCATTTACTTCATCAACAGTACTTAAAACCAGCCAACCAGGTACAAGCCATTGCGCTCAGCATCAGAGGCTACAAAAGAACAATCAAGCCCTGCTTTCAAAGACAGCAGGCCAGGTCGCAGGCAGTGACAAAGTGTGTCTTTCCCAAGGCTGTAGCCATGTGGCATCCTTGACTTCACAAGGCTTTGCTTAACAGAACTCTGAACAAAAAGAATTCCAAACAGTTTTTCTTCAGCTCATAGATGTGGGGGTTCCCAAGTAACTCTATGTTATTACCATAATCCTGCCACTAGACACTCAGCATCCTCTGTTGTATGTGTTCAGTGAATTCTCAAAATACTCCATTGTCCAAAGTAACTAACATCTTATTAAACAAAATAAATTTTACGCTTATAACAAAACAACCTTAATGAGAATGCCAGGTAGCATTAAAATAATCAAAGGAATCAATTAATGAAAAAAACTTACACCGGGTTATTAAATTTCAGGGTTTGAATTCCAGGCCTCCCCCAGCACAGGGAGGCTGGGCAGGGGGAGGCAGCCACCCCAGCAATAAACAGCTTGGGAAGCTTTTTTCACCAACAGCTCCTCCGTGAACTGTGAAACCAACTTTTGGGCCTCTTTTCATTAAAAATCCCTCCCCCGCGCCTTTTTTTTTTTTTTTTGCATAAAGATGAAAAACTAAGATAACATCAGGTCTTTTCAATCATTCCCCCTTTGAACTAAAGCAGACTTTCATGCCCTCTTTGCATTAGAAATTTTTTTGCATACAGATGAGAAATATAAGACGATATCTTTTCAATCTTTCTCCCATAAACTAGTTTCTTTGACATTCTTTCATAAGGCCTATTTTCCAATCCTTTAATTTTTTTTTTCAGACACTACACTCAGTGTATAAGACTGGGCAAAATTACAGTAACAGAATTTAATGAACTAATGCATCTTAATATTGCTATTTCTCCTAAGGACATAAAACACATTTTTGTTATGTTTTTAATTCATTTTATGCCTCTAATTTTAATGCAAGTGGTTAACATTTCGGGTCCTCAGTTTCTTCATGTTAACCAAAAGTTAACACAGGTACAAAACCTCTCCAGGGTCTTCCAAACCTCAAATCCGTGATGTTATTGTCAATAATAAGCATAATACCCCTTAGCAGATATCACAAGATTCTTGTGGCACTTGTCATCTTGAGCCTAAGTACTGCCAAGTTTACTGCTAGAAATAGAACTCTTGTGCACACAAACTTGCATATGAGCCTAAATTTTAAAAATACAAAGAGAATAAATGAGTATGAATATTAATTTATTTACATAACTAAAAAGATTAAGAAAAACCATGATGAATATTTGAACAGATTTCTCAAAAAGACATTTGATAAAAATTATACAATCATTTAGTTTTTAAAAATGGTTATTTTAAAATAACATTTACTGTGCTCGCTTTGGCAGCACATATACCAAATAACATTTACTTAAAAGAGTCACTATCCTTAGCAAAGACATATACACATTTCCATACAAAAAAATTTATCACAATGAATTTTTTTTGTACCAGGGACTGAACTGGGGACCTTGCCCTTGCAAAGCAGGCAGTGACACCACTGAGCTAAATCCCCAACCCCACAATAAATCTTACTAAAGATTCCTACCATTTTGGTTTTTTATAAGTTGGAGGAGAATCAATACAGGAATGAAGAAAGAAAAAAAATCACCACTTTCAAAAATTTATAGTTGAAAACTTCAGGGTAGTAAGCAAAAAACTATATGTGATGATCTAGAAAATTTAGTAAAGTGGTCATAAAAAGAACAGAGAAGAAAATCTCATTTTCTATATTTATGGAATTATTAAGTACTTACTAATACTAATATGACATTCTCCAGCTCTGAACAAATAAAACTACCAAATCTTAGGACAATTTGAAAAATTGATAAAATAAAAGCAGATACATGCTTTGCTCCTGACCTTAATATTTATGAACAGAGTTGCACAATTCCAATCAAAGTTTCAAAAATGTAAAGAACCTAATAAAATAATTATAAAATGAAAGATATAAGTGTGTGAAGTATTTTAAAAGATGACAATGCTCTGCAGAATGATTAGCTGGCAAGATAAAGAAAACCAACTCAGCCAGGTTTGGGGGGAATAGCCAGGTGCCTGTCATCCCAGCACTCGGGAGGCTGAGGCAGGAGGATCACTGTGAGTTCAAGACCAGCCTGGGCTACACAGTGAGTTCCAGGTCAGTCTCAACTATACAGTGAGACCCTGTCTCAAAAAACAAACAAACAAAAAAAGCACAACTCAGTAAATCATTATACCATAGGCTGCAGTCAACTCCAGCTGACTGAAGCAGTTAAATATATGAGGTTTTCCAAAGGGGAAAAAAATGCATATAGTTGCTTCAGTTCTAAAAGGAAGTCCATTTCCCTTTACCATTGGGCAAATAAAAGAAATAAGTAGGTGAGTTTACTATTAAAATATTACAAATCTACCAGACATGAAAGGAAACCACATGAATGTTATCTTCACATCCAAACTTCACATTTAAAGAAAGCCATAAGCACAGTGATACAGTGACAAATGTACAAATGGACAACAGAAAGGTTATCATTTAGGAAAAGAAGGTTCTCACATGTGTGGCAATTAAGGAAATATTAAATTATCAAAAATAGCAAAGTTTTTATTGACAGTTGTAGAATGTACTCATATGTTGAAGAAAGGAGTATAAATGTTATACTGTCATTAAAGAAGGTAGTTGAACAAATGCAAGAAAATCATTCAAAATGACCATATTTCTTTTTTTCTTTTTTCTTTTTTTTTTTTTTGTCTCTTGAGACAGGGTCTCACTATGTAGTTCAGGCTGGCCTTGAACTGACTACATAGCCCAGGCTGGCCTCCTGCCTCAGCCTCCCAAGTGCTGGAATTATAGGTGTGTGCCACCATGCCCAGCAAACCATATTCTTTTTAATGCTGCCATATTTCTGGAACTATGTGGTAATCATAATGATTATAACTTCTGCACCTATTTTTACAGCTATTGGGGAACTGTTTAAGTAGGCACTGTGCTAGACACTTTATAGATACTATCTCCCATCCTTACTAAAACACTGCAGGTGGATGATATTGACCTTGTTTTAAAGATGAGAAGACTGAGACCTAGGAAGATTAAATAAATCATCTGAGTTTAGGAAATTCAAATATTATTTTACCCAGGCTCTTCCTACAACTTCAGGCTACCTCTGAAGCAATGCAAGAGGAAAGCAGGAAAAGAAGAAAAAAAGCTTTGGTATCAGTCTGCGTGCTTTCTAAAGGAACCTAGAAATAGCAGGGCGTGGTGGCACACGCCTGTAATCCCAGCATTCAGGAGGCTGAGGCAGGAGAATCGCTGCGAGTGCAAGACCAGCCTGGGCTACATAGTGAGTTCCAGGTCAGTCTCAACTGCATAGTGAGACCCTGTCTCAAAAAACACAAAACCAAAAACAAAAAAACAAAACACAACAACAAAAAAAGGAACCTAGAAATAACCAGTGCCCAGCTGTCACTGTGGAAGTGAATTGAAAGTACAGAGCAGCATCTATCAAACGAGCACACACACCTTTACTGCAGCCAAGCTTCTAGGACTGTGTGCTGCTGCTACAAAAAGGGAAACTCAGTAAACAGGAGGACTGTGCAGTATTTGGTAGTTGTGAAGTAAGAGACAGTGTAGTGGGAATAAGTCATCTGGGTGTAAGTCTGGCTGTGCCCTTCCCAATGCAGGACAGTACGGTTGAAGTCCCAAACCCTGTTCCTCGTCTCCTCTAAACTGTGGTCAGCTGGGGGGGTCCCGTCTACTTCTTCAGGATGTGAGTAGACTGAATGAGCGAGTGGAGGCTGCTATCATCTTGTCTCTACCAAAACTCAGTTCCCCAATGTAACAGGATTAAAAGGCCGGGGCACCTTTAAAGGGTGTGACGTGAGTAAGTCACAACCACCTAAACAGATGGATTTTTTTAGTCTCTAAAACTGTGAACCAAATAAACCTCTTCTCTAAAAACTGTATCTAGCCTTAGGGTTTCTGTCATAGTAACACAGAACAGGCTAAGACAAATGCAAGCACTTGGAACAATACCTGATCCATGTGTGAGAGTAGAAAAGAACAAAATGTGACAACTCATCTTTATGGTTTGGGTTTAGATGTCCCCCCAAAGCCTCATGTGGTCATAGGCTGGACCTGGAGTGTGTGAAGCTGGAATTGATTCATGATGCAATGCTAGGCTCAAGGGCCCTGGGATTAAGGGTGTGAGTGCTGTTTCTTTTCTGCAACGCTTGTTTGCCATCCCACCTTCAGCGCCAGCCAATTATGGACTGAGCCCTCTACAAACTGTAAGCCAAGTGAACCCCTTCCCCTCTAACTTCAGCTGCCGGGTATTTTGTCTCAGCAATAAGAGAAAAGGAACTAACACACCCATTGATTATAAGTTTAAAATATGCAAAAATCCCAGAACACATGCAAAGTGGTCATACGAGCAGATAAATAATTACAGTTTTGAATTGAGAAGCCTCCATTTCTAACTTTCTAGGACATCCCCAAATATAATTCTTTAATTTACTTGAGTTTGAGAAACGGAACTTGGAACCTCTAGCGACCTATTTAATGTAACATAATTTAAAAGAGAAAACAGTCTAGGGGCTGTTTAACATTCAGTGGGAATGTGATGCCTAGTGGTAAAGTTTGGCCGAAAGATCTGTTATTGTGGATCAGAACGGGGGAGAGCAGAAAACCAGAAACGCACATGCTGTGAAATCTCAGTTTAACTTTATGAAGACGGAGTATCCAGAACATCACTGATAATGTGAGGAAATCTTCCCTATCCTGAGCATCCTACCTAGTAATTGTAACCTACTTGTCAACAAATTTTGGTGT